TTCTGCAGGAGGTGTCTCAGTGCAGCACCCATCCTTTTATGTATATGATTCACGCAATCCTCCTTTTCGATAGTCACGAAGCCATAAACTTGCTCCTCCTGAAGGCTGTTGAAAGGCGGCTATCGCCATCGCACAACATCGTTGTATAGTGGAATCCATGCTTTTCGAGGGACCGGCGAAACAGAATTTTGGCAGCCTCCACCTCCATCTGGCCAGGCTTGCTCGAAGAGTTTTTTTGGCACTTGTGCCGAGCTCGCCACTCACTGCATCGAGGGTCGTCGTCCTTGGGGCCAATCTCGCAACCCAAACAGAAGTTCGAGAGAACTTTAAAGTCCAACACATAGCCCGAAAACAGTTCTATTACAGTTCCCACACAAATGTGTGACAAGTGGCCACGAGTGAGCCAAGTCCCGTCATAGGAAACTGCGATATTGCCGGGGTTCCCGAAATTCAGTTCAGAATAGATGGCCTTCACAGCTGTTGCGCACTCGCTCATAATACCCGCGGATGCGTCCATCGCGGCAGGGTTCATCTTGGTTTTGACGTAGTCTTGGTACGTTTTGTTGTGCATTCCACGACGAGACACATTCAGGGCCGAAAAAATGTCGTTTAGCACGGTCTGCCCATTGCCCGTGCTCATAACTGCACGAGCCGCAAGCACATTCACTTCGAAAGGGTTGCAGGTCGCATTCCCCCCTGCTCTCGGCGAGCTCCATCCGGCGCTGACATCTCCGCAGACGGCACAGTTCACCACTATTCTAACTGCCAATCCGTACTCACGGTCGCCCCGTGAAACGTTCAATGGGCCAGAGCAGAATTCGCATTTCGCGCATCGAAGCAGTTGGTTCAGCAGCGGTAGGCTTAGCAGCGTAAACTCGGTGCCGGACCCCCCCCGCTTCCGGGGAATCTCCGATAAGCGACCGCTTTCGGCGGGTAGCTGATAACGAAGACAGCTTCTGTCGTTGCTCTTCCGCGCAATGCTCAATTGCCACTTTTTCCGCTTCTGTCACAAAATGCGTATCGACACGCGTTGTCCTCGTGTCGTCGGCCACAGGCATCGCTTGCGCGGCTGCAGCTTCGGTAGATATCGTACACTCGCTGACGCATGTCGCGGAGCTCGTCGCCGTCGATTCACCCGACGCTGCTTCAGGTATCCGAGACCGACGCTTGCGTTTTTTGCCGTAGGCATGAGCTGTCGCGAATTTGCGTCGCCCGCCAGCCATCGTCGCGTCCGAACAATTTGTGACAAGGAGTCGCGCATTGTTGCACACAGTCGGGCAGACGAAATTTTCGGTCGTCCAATCGTAGAGCAGGATTTTCCCCACGTGGTATAAACGCGCCAATGCCGTGCGAGTATTCCCTCCTTTTCGGTGGCGTGTAGCTCCATAGTCGCCAGACTTAGAGTTGTTTTCTCGCTAAAACCGGATTGCTGAAGAATTTAGCTTTCAAATGATTCCAAAATGGCCGTGCTGCGGCTAACGGTTTTCGCAGACGACGGCATTGAAATTGCCCGTTCTGGGGGCGCGTTTTCGAGCGAGAGTGATCATGAAAGTCTTCTTAGAACGCAATAACAAAATAAATACTAATCGGAACGCTTTAATATTCCGGCAATAGATTCTTTTGGACGTCGAGATTTCAAAAAAAAATATTTTGAAAAATTGATTTTTTGGCAATTTTTTGCTCTAAAAGACCCGTGTCTCCCCTTAAGCCGGTGTCAGTGTTAGTTATCATCACCAAGATAAACTGCACAGGTTTATTGTGAATTTGGATTGTACGTTTTTCTGGGCGGTATGTTTCTCGCCACTTACTTTTCATAAACCTGAGTGTGAGGTTTGACTGTATAAGGGTCAAAGTCTGTTTTTGAACGTGCATCTCTTTGTAGAGGGGTTTAAGCGGGGACACTGGTCTTGGTGAGGGGGAAAAAAAAAAGAAATCAGCCACAAAAAGTGATTTTTTAATTTTGTGATTTTTGTTCTCTTCATATCATTACGTACCTGCAAGCGAAAAATCACCTCGAAATGACACGTCGTTTAGCCCAAATAAATCGTATTTATGCATCGCAGCACATAGTTTCATTTACGAAAATGCCGAAAACCGCCCTGTTTTGCCTTGCTCGTCTCACGCTAACCACTCATTGGAATGCGGCCATCTTAGCCTCGTTTGAAAGAGCATCCTTTTGGCTTGTATTCTTGCCAAAAACGAACTTCCAATGCTGCTGCCAACGTGCGATGCCAGGCAAACAGGAGTGAAAGAACCACGCTGTATCGTTGGCCCTTAGCGATCATGCGAGTGAACGGTGCCTTGTGATTGGAGAGCGCGGACTGACAACACTGGCAACATGTGCGCCTGGTCGCTACCACGCTCGTTTACCACCATTCCTGAAAGTTTTGCGATCGGAATAGACATGCCAAACCATGCTCGTAAGTTCCGCATGCTGCATAAATTCGGCAAGTGGCGCAAAAAACCTGCCATGCAGCCTAAAAATGTGGGGGTGCTGACACCTCCTGTAAAGTGTTTGCGCTGCGTGGCGCATGTGTCTCACCCAAAAGCCGCATTTTGAGTTACTGGGCGGAAGGTGGCGTGTTCGCGTTGATCACCACTACTATCATCATCATGGTGTAGCGCCGGCGGTGACCCCTGGTGGAAGGCAAGCCTTGGTGGCGGGAGAGAGTTCAGCGAGTCTCTTCTGCGCGTGGCAGTTGCCGCGAACGGTTGTCTCTAGCGTAGGTCCCCGGTGCTCGGCACCGCGGGCTGCACGCGGCTGCACGCGGGGGGGCCTCGTGGTAAGTCAAGCGTTGGCGACGCTGCCTTGGGTGTGTTATTGTGTTTGTCATGTGTTGTGTGTTTGTCATGTTATTGTGTGTTTGTCATGTTATTGTGTGTTTGTCTTATTATTGCGTGCTTGTCATGTTATTGTGTGTTTGTCATGGAGTGTATGCTAATGTGTACGGATGTCCTAGTGTGTTGCTAACGATTGATGTATTGATTCGGTGGACGATATGGTTGTTATAAACTAGTCAAAATGTGTGTTATTGTTTGGTTTGTACTGAGTGTGTCTACTGTGTCCTTTCACTCCTAGGGCGTGGCGCTTGCCATGTCGAGACCCCACAGGAGTCATTGCAGTCAGCAGCGGCTAATTCGCACAGCCGAGGGGGACAGTTGATGGGCAGACGCCGCAATGTAGCAGCCCGATGCCCACCGATCACTACAGCTTCTTGCAGTGGTGACGCGCCCAGACTGCCATAAATTATCGCTGTTGTCCGCGGATATCTCTGATTACCTCGGCAGAGGAGCAAAAAGGATGCCGCAATGAAGCAGCAGTGCAACACACGTAAAGACGGCGATCGCGGTGATACTCTAACGAGCAGCCAGGAAGCAATGTCTTCACTTGTGGTTACGACCTTGAACAATGCCGCAGAAAGCGTGGCAGCGATTGCGACCGCTGCCTCCCCTACTGCAGGTATGAGTGATCTAGCGGACCGTGTGAAGATAAACGCTACATATTTTACCAAATCGACCCGGGATATCATCGGGTGTTGTGCACAACAGGAAGTAGCAGAACTCTCCTCGGTCTCGGCAACTGATCCCAAATTGAGTGTTATCGCGAGCAAGTGCGACACCAAAAGGTGGTCGGCTACGTTGCTTAGAATTATTGACCTTGACATGAGAAACAGCTTACATCATGAATGTTGTTCTTGCCGAGTGTGCCAGGGACCGCCGACTATCGAACGCTTGACGCACGTGAGTATAGCATTGCCATGAAGCTAAAGCTTCAGTGCAGAAACTGCGGGCAAGTTGGCTCAAAATGGAGTTTGGGACGAGGTGCTGGTAACAATAACTGCAACTTGTTTGAACAGCATGTGCTGTGCAGAGATCAACGTTCGCACAGCACATGCTGTGCAGATCACAGGAAACGGGCAGACAACACTGAACGACATCTTTGCCGCTATGGGCGTTTCACACCGAGGTCTTCCTATGAGGACTTATCAGCAGTTACTGAAGACAAAGTTCCAGCCAGCAGCGATGAGAGCTTGTGCTGACCATATGGCTAAATGTTCCGCAACACTGAAGAGCCTATCATTTTCATCAGCCTGACTACATCCACTGCAGGACAAGGGCCTCTCCCATATTCTGCTAGGCAATTCGGTCCTGTGCTTGCTGCTGCCACTTTATACCCGCAAACTTCCTAATCTCATCTGAAGAGCCTCTAAGAGGACCTTAATTCTGGCAACTCTGGAAATATTGCAGTCTTTTTTGATGGAAGCTGGCACACAGGAGCACACACCTCTCATATTGGAGTGGCCTCTTGAATAGAGGTTTTTTCGGGATATGTGCTTGACTATGTAGTGCCTCGGCTCCGAACGAGGCTCAAAACACGGCAGCCCAGAGTATGCCGAGTGGAAATGCAGGCATTCATGCCAGAAAAATACCTCATGCAAAGCTGGCCAAATGAAAGTATAGGCAGCAATAGTTTATTTGCAGTGCTCACTTTCGCTTCATGGCCTCAGGTTACCACCACGCTTTGTGATTGCGTTAGCCGGTTGTGCAGTGCTGTCAACGAAGTGTTGTCAACCTCGATGACTCCTCGGGCTGCGTGACATGTTTCTTGCGCTGTTTGCTGAATTTATGCAGTGTTTGGAACTTATGAGCATGGTTTAGCTTCTCAATTCTGATTGCAACACGTTCATGAATGTCGGTGAACGAGTGTGGTAGCGGCCACGCGTGCATGGTCACCAGGGCCTTTTTCGGCGTTTTCGCAATCGAAACTTTGTGCTGTGACGCATAAATACAATCTATTTGGGCTAAACAATAGGTCATTTCTAGCTGATTTTTCGCTGGCAGGCGTGCGATGATGTGAAGAAAATAAAAATCACGAAATTGAAAAATCAATTTTTTGGGCGTTTTTTCATCACAAGACCAGTGTTCCCCCCTGCTTTATTGTCTTGGTTACTTTTGTCATCCAATCGAGTTGAGCAACCTCTCTTCTTGCTGCCCCACAGGACACACTTGAAAGCAGACGGCGGCAGCAGCGGCGTGAAAAGCTTCGACTCCTGGGGCACACGAATGCGTTGCGCTGTGCGGCCTGCCCGACCTATGGCCGGGACCTGGTGGAGGCAGTGACGGTTGTGCACGACACGCGGCCTGTGGTGCGGAGCCCGTGGGGTGGAACGGGATACGTGGCCTGCCTCAATGCACCGTCCCAGGGCGAGACACAGCTATGGCGATACACGCGAACCCTACGCTCTATAGTGCACACACCGCCGCAGCTACTCGATGAACTCCGGGACATGATTGAGAGGTGTGTAACTTCTCTCAGAGAGTACTTTTTTGAGCTTGTCTCATACTTCATTTCGTACTTGGTTTCATACATGATTGGTTACATACTTAAGTTCTGCACAACTGTTCATCTCTTAGTAAACAGAATACCGTATTTACTCACATACTCCTCGCACTTTGTTTTAGCTGAAAACCGATGCAAAGTTGGGGTGTGCGAGAATTATGCAGGAAAAATTTTCTGCAAAGACGTACAAAGCAAAAAAGAAAACGAAATGGCCGCAAATCGTGATTCCCACGCCAGCAACGAACTTCAAGCTTTGAGGAGCACTAATTAAGACTTACCTCAACAATAAAACCACAGGTTCAACACAAGGCAAGATCTATTCGAGATACAAAAGGCGCAAGCAAATAGTCGAGAATCGGAATACCGCACGCAAAGCTTGTGGGCGTTGCGGGCATAGCGTTAGCGTTCGTCACTCAACAGGAGCCTGCAAAAGGTTAGCGTACGACGTCAGCATCAGGCTGATGGCCATTTAACACAGAATCTTCCGCAGTTGCCTTCTGACGGAATAAAGTTTACCATTCGCACACAGAAGGCCTAACGCGTCTTGGTGGCTTTCAAATGCCGTCTCCAGTAGTGCACACAGAACTCGTAGACTCAGAAGGGCCTACCGGCGGCCCTGATACCATTGTTCAGTGCATGATCAATCACTTTCAACTTGAAAGCAGCCGTGTAGGTTTCGTATCACCTCTTAGCATAACAACATTACGGACACAACAAACAGAACCTCGCTCAAAACACTCCACAACGTGCACTTGCCACTTTGGCTTGGCTTGGATTGGATTGAAGCTTCATGCAATGATAGTACGCTTGATGCTTAAGAGGTGGTGCAAGATGGCATGTGCTATCATCATCAGTGGCTGGAACGAGCACATGCCATTACTGCGGCAATTTTCGGGGGTGCGGTAATTACTTGCAGAAAAAAAAAATCTTATTTTTGTTGGGCGATGGGGGGGGGGGGGGGGGGGTGCGAGGATTACGCGAATAAATACGGTTACTGTTAGAAAAAGTTCTACATCCCCCCCCCCCCCTTCCCACTGTAAAATAAGTTTGTGCCGTGGGGTGTACGCATGTCTTGCAGACAGGTTTAACAGCTCCCAAACAGCAGGTGATGCTGTGGTTGCTTGGGATCATAATCATCATCATTATGGTCAGCGAAGTAGCGCCAGCAGTGCCGTCTGGCGGTGAGGCTTGGTTGGCACACAGAAAAGATTAGAAAGTGTCTTAGCGTGTCTCATTGGCGGGGGGGGGGGGGGGGGTGATCGGGATGGATGCATGGCTTTTGCATCAGCAACTTGAGTGCTTCTTTCTTGGTTCCACTTAGTGTCTTTGTGGAAATGGGAGCACGTAGAGAATTTAGTTTGCCGAATTTCCTCTGTTCTTTGGTTTCCAGGTTTGTTTTTGCGGTGCCCAAAGTGACTGCACCGCGGATCGAGATGCGCGTGTCACATCCATCTCCGTCCTCCATCAATGCTGAAAGGGTCCTCGAGGAAAGACTCAGGGACGACTTGGGTCCTAGGTGCGCGTTCCTGCACCCTGTCATGTGCAACCTGCAGACACAGTTTCCCGAGCTGCGGCTAATACAGTACGACTGTGGTAAGAAGGCCTTTTCAAGTGTAGCGTAGACTCGAATTGATCTGTAAAACATACAGTACAAGACTGTAGATGAAGCACATGGGCAGTGACGACTCTCAGCTGAGGGTTTATTACATGCTGGTACACGTTGACCTTTGTATGGCTTGCTTATTTCTTCAACTAGACGGTCTGATTATGATGATGATGATAGATGTGGCTCGTACGGAGCTGGGCATTGCTTACAACGCTGCGAGTAACTTCTTACATTTTCTGGCCACGGTGGCTGCATTTTCGATGGAGGGGAAAAATCTTGAGGCTCTTGTGCTTAGGCTTAGGTGCACACTAAGATACCCCAGGTAGCCGAAATTCCTGGAGCCCTCCACTGTGACGTCTTTCATAATCACATCATGGTTTCGGAATGGTAAACCCTTACAATTAGTTGACTTTTTACATTAAACAGAGAAACATTGGTACCAACCCACCTATAACGACCTCAGATATAACAATCTATCAATTATAACGACCATATTTCAGTTAACTTACAATTTTCCTATGCTAAGCCTACATACAGCGAACATTTTTTAAAGCCTCCTAATTTTACTACAAACACTTGTGACGCAGTCGTGGTAAAAATATGGCATATACAAAGCGAAAAAAATGTTGACACAAGCATTCTACAGCATGTGATAGGCGCGCACTCGCCTGAGCTCCCCTGCAGTTAACTTGTGACGAAGATATCATAGATTGCGGTGAGCACCGCATGCAAATTTTGGACGTTGCGAGCATGGTCACTCACTTTCGAGACGTTTCTTCACTGGCAGAACAGAAGTGAGGGAAGAAAAAAAAGACGAAAAGAAACAAGAGGCACCATGAAGACTTGTGGTCAGCTTTTGCATGGCAAACTTTTCTGACGCCATTCTTGACAACCTGCAACCACCGTCGATTAATCAACAATGCCTTCAAACACAAGGAGCCATAAATGCGAGAAGTGATAACTTTTGTGGCGTAAAACCTGTAGTGTCTGAAGTTGAGAGTGCCACGTTCTTGGAGTGAACGGACACAGTAGACGCGGTCGAAACGAGCTGAAACAGTACACATTTACAGTAGACTCTCAGTTAATGGAAATCTGTTAAACGGAACTACAGTCGAACTCCACTACAACGAACGCCACTTCAAGGAAATTTCTGCTACAACAAAAAATTCACGATTCCCTGTCAGCAGTTCATAGGAGTCAATGCATAAATATTGTCGCCACAACGAACACTTTTTCTTCGATTGTCCCTCTTCAACTAAATTTTATGACTGCAATTCCAGGCTCAGATACTTATTGCTATGCAGTAAACGCACTCTTAAACATTTAGATGCATTTTCAGAGCCTGAAAACGCGTCAACGATGTCTAAAACACGCGTTGACACCACCAGAAACCGCTGCTATACCGCCGCTGTTCAGCCAGCATGGGCACCGCCATTGCTTGATAGTAATGGCAATGAGACTGCCCTGCTTTTGTTTTGCCACTGGTTTGCTTTTGAGCCGCAGACAATCCGAAGCTGAAGATCAGTCGCTCAGTTCATGGTTTCATTCTTACAGCTGCTGCGTGCAACCGCAGCACGATGCCTTTTCCGATTTCGATTCTTATAATTTATTCGCGCTTGGCCAGTGTAGTAACTAATCAGAGCTGCTGTTCATTCGCATTATCAACAAAATCAGCTAGTCACGAGTGATGGATGATAAGAATGGCATAGAATAATGCAAAAGTCGCCGCCCCAGAATACCCCTCCTCTATCCTGGCGTTGTCGGATACTTTTGACAGCGGACAGCTGCTGGTGTGAACGTGTTAATACAACTGTTTGGTTTGTTCACGAAAGCGGTTTTAGGCGTTGTTTCAGCATGCTTTTCACCATGGCCTCGCTATGCACGCGTGAGAATCACGTCGTGATGCTGCTGGGAAAGAATAGGTAGTAGCAGACAATTTTTGAATTTTGAGAATAAACTTTCCTTTGTTTTGCTAGCTCAGATCAGTGATATTTTTTTCGATTTCGCTACAACGAAATTTTCACTTCAACAAAATTTTTTTCGCGCCTTGTCACTTTCGTTGTAGTGGGGCTCAACTGTACTGCTGAAACAGAACTATTGCTTCTGCAACACTTTGTTTCGGGCTTGTATTCTGCACCTATGTTCACCTCTCAGTATATGGAACTCCTGTTAAATGGAACATACTTTCCTGATCCCTTCAGGTTCCGTTTACCGAGAGTGTACTGTATTTACCTACTTTTGATTGACAATATCGTCAGCCAAATTATTAAAACATCAATCGTGATGACGACCCGTGGTGCTGGGCACCAAAGACCCGGCGTAAGAGACAACCGTTCGCACCAACCGCCACCTGCCAAAGAGGCCCGCTCGATAAACGCTCGCGAGCACAACGCCACCCACCGTTCGATAGTTGTCATTCCTGAATGCGGCTTATTCGAAAGACACGTGCACCATGAAGCAGCGACTCCGGGAAAAAGGGTGGGGAAAATAACCTTTTTGTTTTGAGTGCTAAAACAGTATCATGGAGACAGACGAAGAGTCGACGCGACAGCTTTATTTTATGTAACGCTGCCCAGCCTGGTGTATTCTTCCCAGAAGTAGTCAGAGAATGTTTTTATTTATTATTGCATGGCTTAATATAAATGACGTTTGCAGGAGACATGTTACTTTTATTCAGTAGCCCCAGCTGTATGTCGGCAATTTGCTTCACTTGACGGGGGCAATATATTTTGTATTCTTTTTTTGAAATGCAAAAATAAGATTGTGTGGTTAGTACTGCATACATAAGACAACCAGGTATGACTAAAATTATATTTTATATTAACTGAAATTATTTTGCTAAATCGTTATGGGAGTAATTAATCGAAAGTATGCAGAATATACCAATGAAAGTCATGACACTGAAAGAAGTTCCAAAACACTCACTAGAATATATCTTGTGGGAGGCAGGTATTTTAACAATCACTGAAAAGTGGACAGGGCCTCTTTAATGTTCAAGGCATGACTGGCTGAAACGGGCCGGGCCCTAAACCTTTCGGGCCCTGGCCGGGTACGGTCTGTATTGTAAAACATTGGGCTAGGCTCGGGTGGGCCGGTGAATGAAGTTTTCGGGCTGGGCCGGGTCGGGCAAGACAAATTGGCCCGTGAGTGCTCTACAGCGAACTACAGACATAAAGCCCATTTATGGTGGCACTTTCAAGTTCATAATTGACGGGTTTTACTGTTGATTTTAAAGGGCCAGTAAGCAGCCCTGAGGGCCCAAAAATTTTAGAAAGAGATATGTGCAGTTTTCTTTGCGAATAGCTGCCGCAAGAGTTTTGCAAATACGTGCTATATTATGGAAGTTACAGGGGTTAGAACATTGGTCTATGCTGGTTTCATATTTTCGCGCGGCTTTGCCCCCTTCTCTCTTCCATGAAGGGGAAGGCGTAGCCCATCGTCGTGACTCTGCCCACTTTGGCAACGTGACACCATGTTGCTAAAGTGGTGTCACGTTGCTACTTTGGCAACGTGTGCCACTTTAGCAACTTTGGCGCAGGGCCCCATCGTGAGGCATCCGGTGCTGATACTTCTCCGCTGCCCAGTCGCTTGATTTGCAACCGATGACAGAGCAACGCTTTTTACCCGTGTTGCTGATGTCAAGGGCGAAGTACGTTCGTACGCGCGCACAGGCGCTGTAGTTGAGCGAGAAGTGTACACGTGCGCGCGACAACTGCGAGGCAGGTCTTTTACCGCAGTGCCAAGAAACAAGGGGCAGTTTCATAGCTGTGGGTGGGAACAGGAACTGACGTTGACTTCACTACAGTTTTTACACACCTGATTTAGACCAATCGGTGAGCTGCGTGCTATGTCACATCGGCGATCGCTGAGTTGACGTCACTGCGCGTACAAGGGGGTCGGTCAGGCATAGGAAAGATGCGCGGGAATGGTTTTTCGAAATAGAGGCTCTGCACTGCGTGAAGTGCTGTAATATTATGAAAACGTGATCGCTGTGGTCTAATCTACGAATTGCCAAGCTTGTATAGGGGCGTAAAAAAAGTCTGAGCCTGTTTACTGGCCCTTCAATGAAAATGTTGATCTGAGTTGACTATTACGAGATTTGACTGTACTGTTATGCAGACACTTATGATCATGATTAGTGCTGCTGCTGTACAATAACTTTCACTTGAAATGCGATTATAATTTGTCTAACGACCATGCCATATTCAATATAAATTAAATTGGGATGTGCAGCAGTGACCATTCTTTATTGCAACCAAGAAATCCTAATGTAGACGTGTCCTGATCGCGATCGCAAGTGGCCGGGCAACACCAGTATAAGTGTCCATATAACCCTGCCGGGTTGTAGGTAAGCTCCAAGTCCTGGACAAGCTCCTGTGGCAACTGCGCTGAAGGCCAGCACCGGGTGCTAATCTTCACCGAAATGACTCGCATGCTGGACGTGCTCAAGCAGTTTCTCAACTACCATGGCCACACGTACCTGCGGCTGGATGGCAGCACGCGCGTGGATCAACGCCAGGCCCTCATGGAGCGCTTCAACGCCGACCGGCGAATCTTCTGTTTCATCCTGTCCACTCGGTCAGGGGGTATCGGCGTCAACCTGACTGGGGCCGACACGGTGGTCTTCTACGACTCTGACTGGAACCCCACCATGGACGCGCAGGCTCAGGACAGGTGCCACCGCATTGGCCAGACGCGAGACGTCCACATCTACAGGCAAGTTGGTTGCGTCTGGTGTGCTCTCACTTAGCCATTGAACGTATGAGGGTGCGCAACTCGGCAGGAGCATTATATGAGGCAGGGCATTTGTTCAGTGAATTAGTTGTGGGGTCGCGTGAATAGCGATTTTCGAGGCCACATCATAATTGAATCAAATAGTGTAAAGAGGTAATGTAAATTGAACATTGAGTACTTTTTGGATAGTTTTTGACTGTTGAACAGCCTTCTTTAGAACTACAGGGAAATGATGCTCGCTTACTAGTATACGTAAATGCTATGATAACAGTATCAGTTGTAAGCTGAAACATGCTTTATCAATAAAAATAAAAGGTTCAATTTGTAAGTACAGTAAAACCTCGATGATAATTCGAAGGCCGCTGGACCTGCAAAAATTCTTCGAATTGAGCGAATTTGCAAATTAATTTGAATGAAGAAAAAAAAGAAGCAAACAAGCACTACATAATCAAATCACATATTTTTTTGCAAGAAAAAGGTTATTTGACATAATCTGTGATACTGGATTGCTTATTGTGGTAGTATGCCGCCCCAAGTGACATGTTCTCAAACTTGCTCACAATAGTCGGCATTTCACTGTCACCACCACTGGACTTGACGAAGCTGTGGAAGGTGTTCATGGCATCGACAACTGAGGCCAAAGTGGGCGCACGGGCGGGCTCGTTATTGTCGCCATAATCGCCGACTTGCCCACTGTCGGTGACCTCCTCGTGCAGATCAGCGTATGATGTTTGTACACCCGCTCCAACACTGGAATACTCTACGAAGCCTAGTCCCTCCCCATCACCGGAGTCAGTGATCCAGGCGCACATCTAGTCTCCTTCGTCGTCTAGGCTGGACGAGCTGCAATTTTCATCAAGATCTACGCCACCTTGTTTGCAAAACCCGGTGTGTTCAAAGCAGCGCTTGATCACCTTTGGCTCAAACTCCTTCCAGGCAAAGGCAATTAAACTAATCGCACCAAGCAGATCAAAGTGGTATTGCTTCCCGTTGTCGTAGCAAAGCAGAACCCGCTTCAATAGGTGGTGGCGGTAAATCTTCCTCGTTTGCAGGATCACCCCTTGGTCCAATTGGCTGTGATATGGCTGTAGTATTTGCCGGGAGGAAGACGATCATGACGGCTTCCAGGTCTCCGATGTCCTCCCCGTTGTCCGGGCAATTATCAATAACTTTCCGGTCTTTGGTGGCAAACTTCCGGTCACATATTCCTCAAATATCGCTGCCGTCATCCAGGTTTTTTCTTTATGTCTGTACGTAACAACATCCCTCGGAGGAAGGCGTGCCTTCTTAAAGCACCTAGGCTTACTTGATCGGCCGATTACGAGCAGTGGAAGCTTGCCCCTTCCAAACATGTTCGCACCGAACAAAATAGATATTCTCTCCTAGGGCTGCTTTCTCCTCAAGACAGTGGTGTCCTAGGCAGCAAATGTTTTCATGGGAAGTATCTTGTAGAACAAGGCTGCCTCATCGAAGTTATAGGCATCGTTCTCGCCAAACTTCTGAAGCAGCGGTGCCAGCGTACGCATCTGCCAGTCGTCAACGACGTTCGTGTCGGCGCTGCAGCTTTCCTTGCACGCGGTCAAGTATGTAAGGTTATTTCGCTTTTTAAATCGCGCGAACCAACCATTACTGCACTTGAAGCCTTCATGGCCAAGGTGCAGTGCCAGGTCATTGGCCTTCTCCCGAAGAACGGTGCCGTTCACGGGATGATAAGCTGCATTTGCGTACTGCAGCCACTTCACCAAATCGACGTCAACGTCCGGGTACGTGGGGAAGCGAATCCTTGATCGCCTTGACGAATGTGTTGTCCCATATGCCTCAAGCAACTTTTCTTTCTTCTTCAAAATGGTTGAGAGCGTCGACAAGGGCATGTTTTGCTTTTCGGCGAGTTGGTTCTTCGTGCACGTCGGCTTCTCAGCCTCCTCGATCAGGGACACCTTATACCGCAGCGTCAGCATCGTGTACTTCGGCATCGTGGGTCTTAAAAGTGGTCAGGACTTCGCACGTGACACAAGCAGGCATAGGAGGTAGTAAACAAGGCTAATGGTCGGAAGCATGCGAGCTACGTGAAAAACGCCAAACGGAATGCGTGAAAATTGGTAAAACGTGAAAAAAACGCAAACGTGGAAAACATGAAACGGAAAATGCATTCTAACACGTTTTCGGCACTCCAACTATTATGACCTTCGAGATAAGCGTCGCCGGAAGGCCGTGTCATGTTTGTCGCTGCTGGCGGGAATTACGAATTATCCTAATGAAACCCCGCAGGCTGTTCAAATAATCTGGTAAAATTTGCATTGAAAAACACGGGACCGCAGAAAGTTCTTTCAATTAACCGAAATTCCAAATTATCCGAGTTCAAATTAGCGAGGTTTTATTGTATTCAATGCTTTGTGGTCTCATGTTTGACTGGCAAATGATAGAATACTGATTTTGGGTATAGCAACGTGTTTTTAATATTTATATTTATTTTAGTGCATTAACATGGCTGGCTTTTTTTCTTTTTCTTTTTCAGAAACCTTGCATCTGAAACCCTGAGTAACTGTGCGTCTGTGTGTGTCTTTTTATGCTCAGGTTAATAAGTGAAAGAACCGTTGAAGAGAACATCCTGAAGAAAGCGAACCAGAAGAGGATGCTTGGTGACTTGGCCATTGAAGGAGGCAACTTCACCACAGCCTTTTTCAAACATGTATGCTGTCATTTGCATTCTCTGGTAGTTTAATTTGAGTTCGTACGAAAAAAACAACAACAAAAAAACCTCTTCTGTGTGTTGACCTAAAGTAATATAAAATCTGGCAGGCATACTTTTTGTTTGTTGACCTAGAGTAATGAAATTTAGCAGGCATATCGAAGCAGGGTTCACACAGCCCTTCGACATTCTGCAATACCCTTGATATTGACAATATAAGTTCAAGAGCCCTTGAAACTCCTTGAATACTAGCGTACTTGTAATCCTTGAAAATGCTGTGGTATTTGTTCCTCTAGAAAAAAATAATGACGTATCTCTGTAAGTCCGGCTCGTTTCAAAGTCCCTTGAACGAATGACCATGAAAACAAACTCTGCCAACTAAAAGGCGTCCAGGAGTTTCGCTTTTAAATAGCACAGCCAGACAGAATCTAATCCAAGGCACATTGCTTGGTCTGGCTACGGTCCCTATATCTCGCTAGTCTGCCATCTCTGCATCATCTTGAGCTAGGCCATGTCTACGGTGTTATGCATCTGCGGGCAGCGCTGCGATCCATCGGAGCGAGTGCCGCGTGCAGACAGAATCTGTGGCGCATTGTGTCTTTCGTTTTAAATAATATTGGGCTTCCACGTGGAAGACTCATTTTCGATTTGTTCTCATAAAAGAGAGAGGTAGTTAGCTGTTCCTACTTCCTTTTGTATCCCACTGTTATGTCGAAAATGTGCCAGTACTGGAGGGAGCCCTGGCAATGTGGGAGCACCTGAAGCGCTATACCGAAGTTGTAGGTGACTACAGGCCACCCATGCCAAAATGTAGAGCATATGAGAACGTCGGCGCTTTTCTAAAGAACTCGCTTGCACCTGAGAAACTTTTCCCCAGCCATTGCAATGGTTGTGCAGCTCTTCTTGACTGTTTTACAGAATGATTCTCCCCAGTTTTTTTTTTAGAGATATAGGTTGAAAGTGTCTTAAGAAGGGACGCAGCCCTTGAAAACCGAAAAATCGCGAAAATTGAAAAACCACATTTTTGGGTTGTATGTCTCATAAACTACCTATTCTTTAATTATCAGCACCTAATTCAACCGCAAAGTGCAAAAAAAATACTATTTTCGAGGCCGCCGTGGCATCCAAAACAGGCGCAAATCCCGAAATTAAACCAAACTTCGCGCGCGCGCCATTCCCGGACCATGCGGTCGTCCCGCGCCATCTTGGTGTTGTTTTGACCGTGAATTCTTTCTCTCTCGTTCGCCGCCTTGCAAAATGGCGTCGGCAGCACAGTTGAGACGCTATTGGCGTTTTCCCGCGATGCGATGCGGAGCGCTGATTGGCTAGAGCAGCGCATTCATATCTCGCGGGAGAAAGCGTGCCCGCCATTGGCTGCTGTGCAGCAGCGGGGGCGGTCGCTCCTCTCGATGGCGCGTCCAGCACGCTCGCTTCGTTGTTGCTCTCTGCTCCGTCCGCCTCGACAGACTTCTGCTTACGAGCCGCTCTTCGCCTTGTGCTATCTTTTCGATCATTTTCTCTCGTTTTTTTTTTCTTTTTGCACTAGTTCTGTGCCTTTCGTCTTTGTTGTTGCGGGCGATGCCGGCAACGAAGCCGAAGTCAGTGCGGAAGTCCGGTGCGCGGAGGCGCGCTATGCGGCTTGTACGATCATCGAAATTCCGCTATTCTGCTGCGGGTGCCGACTGCGTAGACGCTTGCAGCGACGCAACTGTGTTGTCGGCTGTCGCCAGTCGAGAATCCGACACATCGAGTGTGGCTGGAGCCGCAAATGCAGCGAGTGTTTCCGAGATCGCCGGGCTCGACACGTGCTCCGAATCGATGCCATCCAGTGTGACACCGAGTGCTTCTGATATCGCCGGACCCAGCACTTCGTCTGAATCGGTGCCGCCATCGAGCGTGAGTGGACCGTCGCTTCATCTGCGGACGCGTTTCCTAACGAAGGAAGAAATCGATGCGAATGCAAAACGTCGTGACGCCGTTCGTGCTGAACTCCAGTCTACGCCGGCGACGCAGAAGAAATTTCAACTGATGCAGCCGGCTCTTGCACCTGCAGTGACAAGTGAGGGCGAACATTTTTCGCTCGTTCAAATGAACATCTTTAACGTCGTGCTCAGCCGCACAGTGTGCAAAGAATGTTTGAAAGGTGCTATGACTGTCCGAGAGAGCACCAAGCTTGGACTTGCAACAAAACTTAAAGTCGTGTGCGCCTCTTGTGGCACCGTCGATAAATTATGGACATCACCCCGCAAAAAGGACACGCAGGCCTTCGATGTAAATGTCCGCGCCATAATGGCTATAAAGCAAATAGGCAAGGGGCAAACAGCTCTTAATGACTTTTGGGCTGCCATGAACGTCTCTTACAGAGGTCTTCACCACAAGACTTTTCAAAAGCACTTGAAAGAGACATTCAGGAAGCCAGAGGCCACCGCTTTGGAGAAGTTTTATGCTGATTCTGCCACAGCAGTGATCAAAACATATAAAGAAATGGACCCCAGCTTCTGCAAGGACGTCACCGTAGTGTACGATGGCACATGGCATAAGCGGGGTCACACATCACACATCGGAGTGGGATCGGTAATTGACTTCTTTACAGGTCTCATCTTGGATGCTGTAGTTCTTTCAAACCACTGCCGTGGATGCCAAACAGGGCCCAAACCTGGAGATGCAGCATACGAAAGCTGGCAGAAGCACCACATTTGCCAGAAAAACACAGACGCAAAATCGAGAAGCATGGAAGTGGAGGCAGGCTTGACTCTCTTTGGGCGGTCTGTATCCAAGCATGGCCTGCGGTACACCACTCTTGTGTCCGACGGAGACAGCCATACCTTCGCTGCCCTCAAAGAAGAGAATGTGTACGGGCTAGTGCCAATTGTAAGAGAAGAATGTCTGAACCATGTTCAGAAAAGGATTGGAAGTGCTCTTCGAAACATTGTGCAGAAAAGTGATAAGCCACTGAGTGGGAAGGGGAAGCTGACTAAAGCCCTCATTGAAAAGCTGACAGGATATTATGGTTGGGCCCTGAGAAACAATTCAACTGACCTAACAGCCATGCAGCGTGCAGTGATGGCAACATATCACCACGTCACATCGACTGACCAGGACCCTCACCATGAACTTTGCCCAGAGGGAGCTCAATCGTGGTGCCGCCATAGAACTGCAGAGGCAAAGCGTGAGCCACAGCCAAAACATAAACACAGTCTACCGGACTATGTCGCTGCAGCTATGCTGCCCATCTACGAAAGACTGTCACAAAAGTCGCTTCTTCAGCGCTGCCTGGGAGCGAAGACGCAAAATGCATCAGAATCATTCCACTCCATTCTGTGGTCTCTGATGCCGAAGGAACAACACTCATCCTTGATCGCGGTAAAAACAGCACTGCATGAAGCAGTGCTGCGCTACAATGCCGGCTGCTGCAAAGCAACCCAAGTGATATCGGACTCCATTGGACTTCAACCAGGTCATCTGGCCATCCAGCGAGCTCGTGAAAAAGACGCTTTACGCCTAAAAAAGAATTCTAAAAGACACCAAGAGAAGATGGAGGCCAGGCAAAAGAAGAAAAGAGTGCGCCAGGACACTTCTAGCTACTGTGCTGGAGCTTTTTGAAGAAAACACTTGTTTTGAACTTTCTCGGCCTGTTTTCTCAGAACGGATTTTTTTGCTAGTTGTGGTGCTGAGGAAAGCAAGAACTCGAAAACCGTTCATCAGATTTGTGTGCCGTTTTTTTATTCTGTTCCTGAATGACCTTGCAAGGGCGTAACAAGCTCCTTTTTTTGAAAATTGGTGCTGTTAATTTATAATAAACAATTAATTTTTGATGAATCTGGTCATTACTGGTTACATCAAATTCAAAGTTGCGTGAAAATTTTTGGCGGGGGGGGGGGGGGGGAATTAAAAAAAACGGCTTTGTAGCGCCCTGGGATAGCTATCAAGGATTGACCACAATGAATTTCAGCTTTCTACTATGTCCTGGAATTTCTCACGACTCTTCCTCAGGCACCCATGTGAAGCACCCAGTTAAACCTCAATAACTCAGGAACTAAGAAACACAGCTTCGTGAAACTTAGCAGTTGTGCTAGTTTTATTGTAGTGAACAACCCCTGAAAGTTTCATCCAGATATCTTAAAAAATAAGAAAGTTCGGTTTCCAGGGTAGCCTCCCCCCTTAAGGGGAGATGCTACTCGAAAAACGATTTTCTTTAATAAGAGTCTGAATTTAACACAAATTGGCATGCTAATAGAGTTTTTTCTCCTCTTTTCAAATATGTCATTTATTTTCATGTAGATTGCTTGGTTTTCTTTCTGCAGGGCAGATACTGCAAAATTATGGCCATTTGTTATGCAACAATTCTGACCTATAAAAATTTGAGATAAAGCATGCAGATATAGCTGACTATGATCCTTTGGAACTGTAGAGTGCGAAAAACTATATAAATTTTGTGTGTAAAAAGGTGAAATACAATAATAAAATAGAAAAATTTACTATGGCTCTAGTTGCCAAGGGCTTTCAATGTTATGTAAATTTTGAAAAACATAATCAAGCAGCACTGACAATCTGAATAGATACTTGCACTCTATGGGCCTTCATCATGCTATGTGCAAAATTTCATAGAGGTATGACAATTCTAAGTATACGAACTAGCGTGTATAAGAAGCACAGATCACACAAAACTGCAAAAGGAGAAAAACGCATTTGAAAGTTTGAAACCTTTTTTTTTTATCACAGAGTTGTTAGAAATGCATAATCTTTGGCCATAATGTTCAATAGAACTTTGAAAAGCACTGCAAGTTACTAGAACTGTCCTGCAGCATAGGTTGTTCCCTCACGGTCCTTGCGAGTACTCTCTTTTAGCCGTGCCCTTTTCACTCCACGACGACGGTGGGCCCTTGCTTCTGCTGTCGGACGCTCGGACATTCTCTTGATGCGCCTCGCATCGCGGGAATCACTGAAAGTAACTAGATCTCTAGATGGCAGTATGTTGAGCTCTTTCAGGATGTGCTCGA